ACAATCCTTCCAGATGGCTTTGGTATAAGCTCCGTGGATCCCGATGCTTGTGGAGACTCAACAACTGGGGCTAGTGGCAAGGCTGCGGCAGCAGCTTCAATGGCAGACTTGGTCTCTGCTTCCATGTTTGAAACTTGACGAGCCAAATCCTCGACCTTCCGTCGAAGATCCATTTGCTGTTCCTCCCAGAGACGGTAGGGCAGTAATATGGGGTCAGTATGGGCACTCGAGGTTGGTTTTACTTCAATAGGGGACACATCCCTGATTTCTTGATTGTCATCTTCCGATCCAGGGAGTGCAATGACCGTGTCACATGACTCGGTGAGATCAGAGGAACCCGGCATTCTGGGAAATGGGTGATGAAAGCTACGAACAATCATTGATTGATTCTAAATGAAAATACACCTGGTAATATCCTCACCTCGCTTGCGGATGGGGAACCGTGAATGGATTAGATGGGAGAATTAAACCACCACTCGAGACACGCTCGTCACAAAACTCGACGAATGAGCAGGTGCGCGCGCTCTTTTGTAGTCAAGATCGGTAGAGTTCAACGACCCCCCGGAAGTCGAAACTTCCGGCGCACCCCGCGGAATTCAGACTATCAGCTAAATTTCTTGTTTAGGCAAACAAATCGCTGTCAATTTCTATGGAGTATGGAAAAAGGGAGGGAATGATAGAAAAACTATTCATTCTTGACTAGTTTACAGTTTCCCAAACCCATAGAAGTAGGCCATCGTAGATTGACCATGCCAGTAATCAGCAACCCGCTAATCGCGGACGTATTCAAACGCATTCGATTGTGTCGAAAGCACATACTAGATAGTTTGTACAGACTAACCCTTTCTGACCGCATGTATCTAGTAGTATATAAGCTAGTTCAATAAAGGTCTTCAGTACTTGAGGAGAATTCCCGTTCGGGTTTACTTCACGTCTGTTGTGTTCATTCTACTGTGGTGATCATCGTTTGTGCTATCTCATCATTCGAAGCCTCGCTCAGAACTCTACGTCCAAGCTCGAAAAACCGTCCAAATATCCTTCAAGAATCAGAAGAGAGACTGAAAGGGACGGGACTCGGATTTGAAGCTCGACTACCCGGGAACATATTCAACGTCAGGGAACCGAAGATGGTCCCCATCGGGGGATTGCTATATGCTAACGATTTAGTTCTTATAGCACAGTCTTGGAAGGACATGCGAGTATTACTCAGAGAGACATCGGGGTTTGGAGTACAGATGGATCACCGATTCCACCCCGAAAAGAGTGCAATAGTCGAGTTTTCGGAATGTGCGGACTCGAGAGGGGTTTCAGAGGTGCAGGGACAAACACTACCGGTAGAGAAATACGAGTACCTGGGAATAACGCTCTGCAACTCGAAAAACTACCTGGAGGAACAGGAGAACATCTGGGAAGCGAGGGCGGAGGAAGTGCTGGGACAGATGCACGCGAAGTCCTTACGGCGCTTCAATAGGTTTATGGTGACAAAGATACAATGGAAGAGTACAGCTGTACCCGCCCTGATGTACGCGAATTCGGTCACAACTATGACCGCGAGACTGCGGAAGAGACTTGAAAACCTACAGCGGGGCGCTGGTAGATGGGCCTTAGGTGGGCCAAACTCGAACACAGTGGTAGAATTCATCGACGGGGAGCTGGGATGGTCCAGCTTCGAAGCGAGGGAGGCCAACAGCAAAATAACTCATCTCGCCAGAATCGGCGGGATGAGCAACACCAGATGCCCGGAGGCGATCTTGGCGATGCTTGAAATTACCAATATGCAAACCAAATTCCAGGATAGGAGATCGGAGCGGAGGGATAAACTCAACTGTCAGGAGCCCAGGTGATAGCCGACCAGGAATAGGCGGTTGAGCTTGGCGGCCTACAAGAAATATGTATAAGAATCAATACGAGCCAATAACGGCTCAGCTTGGCTAGACGGTTCGTCAGGTAAAACCACCTTAGACGGATACAAGGGTTTCAAATTTGCGAGAAGCACTATCGAGCACCTATACGATAACACGCAAGGCAGTCGCCTCCGTGCGAATGCGAGAGCAGGATGCTTACAGACCAGGAAATATCGGTCACGCTTCAATCAATACATTTATCCACTCCTGATTGAGTGGATTTTCTACCTAGATAAAATAATATAACAGTACGTATGCACATATGAGTTCCTTGGAAGACTTGAGGGGGGTTGGTTCGGGGCATGGAGACAGATCGCAGGTAGGGTCTGTTGAGCTCGTTCAGGGGCGGTACCTCGGGGCAGACGCTCGCGTGGTATTTTCCGCAGCGTCCAGACCATCTCTAACGGATACAGTTGTCTCCGGGGTCGTGGTAGCCCTCGGTTCGGCATGCCCTGTGGTGGAATCCATGCACCGCGAATTTTGTCCCCATGCGCCGGTTCGTTCTGTAGGGTCCTTTCCAGGCATCTTGGCTCATGGAAGCCGTCTCGAAGAACTCCCGCTCCACTTCGTCGAACTTATTCTCCCATATACCTTGGCAGTCTCGATAAACGTCGGTCTCGGGCAGATTGTGCTGCCTCGCCACGTCCTCAACGGGGGTTTTCGATTCTGTGGGAAAGTAGGCAAGTCGATTCCTGGACTTCGTATGCATCCCCAGGACTCTCTTGATGTAGAGCGCCTTGAGCTTGTTCAGGGACCCGAGGTTAGCGAGCGTCAGGTCCCTCAAGATAACCTCGGTTCCATAGGCAGCTACCGGTGCAATCTTGAGGTCAAAAAGTCTCATTGCCGTCCGAACCGACAATGTTCGAGGGTAAGCGACGGATCTCGACCACGGCCCGGCTGCATCGGTCCGATATATGCGACGTGAATTACTTTCCGTTGAAGTGCATAGTTATTCCGAGGTATCGGACCGTGTTCACGTATTGGAGTTCACGGCCTTCTATACCCCCTCTCCCTCCCTGAATTTCACCGCCATCGTCTTCGTCTCATTGAATGAGAGATCGAGGCTTTTTGAACCTGTGTTAAGCCTCGGAAGCGCTTGTTGGGTTAGGGAGCGACTGCTGCTGTAGAGGAACACCTCGTCGGCGTACAACAGCATCTTAATCAGGCTGTTAGACTTGAGGACGGCATGCCGTAAGTCCTTGAGCAGCACCGAGAAGAGCACTCGGCTCAACGAATCGCCCTGGGCGAGTCCTGTTGTTTGGTCGAAGGGCGTGTGTTCCGGAACTCCGTCGTCGATCGTGATTTTGTTCGCCTTCATCGTCGTGGATAGTAGGTTGAGTATGCGCGTCGGTACTCCCGCTTGGCACAGTATCTCCAAAACTCGATCCCGAGGTGCCGAGTCGAAGGCTGCTCTGTAGTCCACAGGGACAGCGTTGATGAACTGTCTGTGCTCCGATAGGGCAGTCCTCGAGTACGATCTTGCATGCCATTGTCGACGATCTATATCTTCTAAACCAGCATTTTTCGTTGGGTATGACGTTGAGTTTCTCCAGGAAATCGCTGTCGTGAGAATCTTGGATAGTTGTTTATACCCAGAGTTCTTCTTGGCGATGCCCCGCCATGCGTCGGGCTCGAACGTGTCACCCTCACTCTTCGGGATGACAGCCAGATGGATCCACGCCAGTTCTCCGGGATGGTTCCCGTCCTGATACACTCGGCGAGAAGCGCTCTCCAGCACGGGGTCATGAACAACGCGATCTTGAGATGTTCGTTCGCAATCAGATCAGGACCCGGGGCTTCCTAGGCTTTCAGCCTGATCGTCGTGTTGAGCACCTCCTCCGTGGTGAGGTCTGCTAATAAGATATCTCGCTCAACTGTGGTCTTTCTGTCCCAAACCGAACTGTACGCGTTGAGATCCTCCCTTGGAATCGGGTCCTTGGAGGCTAGTATTTGCCGGAAGTAGTCGATAAGAGCATCGTTCTCTACGGGGCACGCGGCGAGTTCTGTTCTCCTCAGCTATTTGTGGGGTGTCTCTCCCGCCTCCTCGAGCAGTGTGCGTTCTCTCATCTCCGGGAATCGGAATTTTTAGGTCTTGTACGCTCTTCTGCAGAGGACTTTGAGATGCGCGGCCAGTGCTCTCAACGCCGGGTACCGCGCTGCCAGTTGCGCCGCTGCGAGCAGTCCTCTCCGTGCTGTCCGACGTAGGTCGTCGAACCACGGTCTTCCCTTCCTTTCATGCCAGGGTTTCGTGCATGATTTTACACTTTCCGTCATGCGGCTCGCGTAGGTCTCAACGTCGATTTCGGTCGGTATTGGGAGAATTCCGCGTGACCTCGATAGGGGTTCTTCGACGTCGATTCTCCGAGATATGGGTCTTCGGCGAAGAGTGAGTTCGCTTATGCAGCGCAGCTGAATGTCAACACTCGATCGGTGGGTGTGAACTGAGGCTTGCTCCTCCCCTGAGCGCGTGGTTAGTTCCAAAGAAGCGAGCTAAGTTCTCCGGAAGGTTCGCGCCGAAAACATAAATTATCGATTGTCCTCTCGCGCATGTGAATGTCGATTGCTGGAGATCGTCGAGTGTTCTACAGCCGAAATCTGCCAAGGTGTCGAGGAAGGCGACCGTCCTTGGGGCCTCGGGTTGATCGAAATTTGAGTTGAAGTCGCCTCCGATTATAAGAGGTCCTTCGGTCTGGAGTGACCGAATCGCTCTGGAAAGGTTGTCAATGAGGTGTATCGTGGACTCGACTTTCGAGAGTCTCACGAAGGCAGCGATGATGGCGAGCTTTTCGTTCTTCACAACTATCATATTTTCCTCGAGTAATTCGAGTGACAGACCTCCTACTCTATGATAGTAGCATGGACACGCCCCCTGTAGGGCGGCCTGCCCCACTCTGCTTTGTTGCGAGAGAGTGATAGGAGCGCAGAATCATGCGCGATCCATGCGGATTCATGCGCTGTTCATGCGGACATTATGCGCCATTCAAGCGCGAGTAAGACGCGAGCCTAGGGACGGATATGAAAAAACAACAGACAGCGTCAAACAAGAGTCGAGATACAAAGGGATGAATCTGTTTCTTCAAGTGCTAAATTGTTGAGTCATTGATCTTGATTGCAAGCGATAACGATGTACTCCTTCAAATGGGCCGCGGTCAGGCCGTTTCGGTTCTCACGAAATAGGCTTTTGAAAACAGAGAAGCTCCGTTCGACATCGCATGACACGATGGGCGCGAACTTGAACTTAGGGACTTGCTCTACACTCAATGCTGAAGCGATCGGCGACTCCTCCAGACGTAAGCTGCCCTCGAGTACGCCCTGTATTTGTCTCAACGACTCTAAGCCGGTGTTACGACTCAATACGAACTCCAATTTCTGTTTTACCGGATACAGTTTCTGGCGACGCGTGAAGTTGATCATCGCCTCGAAATCTCTAACATGCTGGAGGGATTCTTGTAGGGACGCGCCGCTGGTCTCAAGCAAAGTGATTGTTCTCGGAACGAAGTGCAAATTCGCAGATATCAGAATCAAGTCTTGCCGCAGCGAGTCTAAGCGGTACAAATCTTGAGCTTCACCTATCGCTGCCGCGTCCGTGGAGTCTAGATCATTGACGAAGCTCCTGATGGCTTCGAAATGCTCAGCATGGTAGAGCGCTGCGTTGATCCAAGAGCCCCAGCGTGTAAGGATGGGTTTGGGAGGCAAGGGGACTCCGATGAGAACCGCGCGGAAGGCTTCCACGCGTGATGGAGCCTTGAGTAAAATCTTCTTCACCGAAGATATCAGTCGATCCACATTCGGGAAGATTGTCCGTGCTTGCTCGGCTACACGGTGTATCGCATGAGCTAAGCAGGTCACGTGGATCATGTTCGGGAACAAGACCTTGAGGCTATTCGCAGCGGCGACCATGTATGGGGCAGCGTCAGTTACAAAAACGAGAACCCGCTCGTGTTGCACGTCATTCGGCCACAGGTCCTCCACACTCTTGTAGAACACTCTCGCGACGGTGTGGGCATTGGTTCTCTCTACGATTTCACAGTTGAGCAGATACGGACGGCCGGCAGCCTCTTTGTTCAAGGCGCCGATTACGACGTGGGCGATGCTTCTCCCCATGAAGTCAACGGTCTCACCGATCGAAATCCAAATGCTCGACTGGCCAATGCTTTCTCGAATCGTCTGCATCTTTCGCTGGTAAATTTCGTGCACGTAAAACTTCCTGAGAGTCGATTCGTTCGGGATGATTCTGCTCGTGCTGGCTTCCAGGAAATTTCTGAGGGTCGGGTTCTCGAGCTTGTGGAGTGGAATATCTGCAGCCAGGAAGGCGCCACAGAGATCCATCGGGAACGATGGTAAATCGGGCGAACAAGCGGCAGCCTCCAGCCGCGATTCCTCTTCTTGTCTCCTCCTCAATAGAACCACTGACTTCTGGTGCGAGCTTGTTGCAGCATGTTGGGTTAAATTGAAGCGTCGGGCGTTCGGGAAGGTCTTCGAGCAAGCTTTGCAAATGAGCGTCGTCTCGTTGCACGAGAAAACGTCGTCTCCGAACTCCCGGACAAGCTCCGATAATTCGAGCTTTGGTTTCGGCATGCTTCGGTATTGATCGGTCGCGTGGATCACAGTCAGAGAGCAGATCAACTTCACCTCAGAGAGTTCTGGGAATGAATGATCGACGCTGCTTCTGCATGCGGCAATGTCGTAGTCGAACTCTGCTCATTCCTGATAAAGGTGTCCAACTCGCGCACATCGCTCTTGATCGAGATGCGATGATACATCGTGGAGTCGAAGTGGTAGAAGTTTGGAGGTGTCATGGGTACAGATTTTCCGAAGCATGCAAAGGGATTCAAGGATATGCGGATGTTCGAGAAATTCCACGGAGCCCCGCTTCAATGCGCGAACTTCCGTGTAGAATGCGGAGAATGACGGGAAAAAACGTATGTCCGTAAAAAATATGAGAATACGGTCAAATATGGAGGAGTATATGCAAGTTATACGGATATAGGCGAATACATGCGGATATATGCGAATACATGCGAATACATGCGGATATATGCGAATATAAGCGAATATATGCGAATACATGCGAATATATGCGAATATATGCGAATATATGCGAATATATGCGAATATATGCGAATATATGCGAATGTATGCGGATATATGCGGATATATGCGAATATATGCGAATATATGCGGATATATGCGGATATATGCAGTATGCGTTTGTATGAAAATGCATAGAAATCCGGGCCCTAGTGATAGGCATAGAAGTCGACCGTGTAGAAAGGGGATAGGGACCAGGTTTCCGTCAGAATAATTATGTCAAGTTCCTCCAGATTTCGAGAGTCGAGTAGTGCCAGAGTGTTGGCTCCCTCGAAGTTCAATGTGATTATTGTGAGTTTCGTGTCGGCGGGCGTCCTCCGCTCGGACGTCGGCGTGAAGGATCCCGACTCCGGCTGCGCGATTCCTGAGAGCGATCTGACCGGGAGACTCTGCGCCCGGAGTTCTTTCCCCGTATACTGTCGTGTCATGATGTTCGGATCCGGTTTGCAATGGTCGAGAGCATCTCCCGAAAATGGTGGTCGGAGAGCTCCGGTTGAGATTTTCTTCTATGCGATCCCTGTCTGGGAGTCGCTGACGTGCCGCTCTTTCCTTGGCGACGTCGTCGCCTCCCGTTATATCCTAAGCGGGCGAAAGAGTTCTCAGCGCGGTCGATGGTGTGTCCGCCAAACGATACCCTTTCAGCGGCTCTGGATTTTTTCTGGCTGGGTATCGTGTCTCACGATGTTCGCTCGATCACGGCCGCCGTTGGAGTTTCTGCCTGGGGTCTTCTAAAGCGTCTCATCTTCTTTTCTAGAATGTAGCAGGCTTCCTTGGCGATGTCGTAGGCGACTTGCTGAGCTGCTTGCTCCTCATAGCCGTACTTCTTTTGGGTGACCATCTGCCTCTGTATAAGGGATTGCGGCAGGAAGGAGAAGGGGGCTGTGTCCTCGTATGCCGCCTTGCCCAGTTATTCGTCAGCGGCTTTGCATTCTGGAGTGGAGACCGGCACCGATAGAACGCCGAGGTGGTTTCGAACATCAGCGGCCTTGAGCTTTGTGGCGAATTCTGTTACCTCCGACACAAAAGAATTGTATTCGAATTCCATGCATTCATGGAAGCCAGCTTGGAGACATATCAGAGTCGTGCCTCTGGTTTCCTCCAACTCTAGGTTAACTTCCGCGAATATTGAGCCAATGTCGCTCTTGCGGGTCACTCGAACCGTGCTGTGTACCTCGTCGGGTAGAAGTCGGCTTACGTCGGGGCCGAGCGGGTTCACAACTTACCCATCGATGATCAGTACCTAAGTTCGGTTCTGCGGGTCTTTGCGCTTGTTCACTTCCATTGGATAGCTAGTTTCTTCTGCCACCGATCCACCCCTAACTTCGATCTCTCGGTGATTCTCGAGTTTATACACCCTCTTTTCCACGGTTGCGAGGCGATGGAGTAGATTTGTTATGTATCCCATCGGCTCAGCGTCAAGAGCGCAGTAATCCAGACACTTGTAGATCTGATTGAGGCGGGTTAGGAGCTGCACATTGGAGCTCGACACTGCCACGATGCTCCAAGGTTAAGCTTCGGGTTGGTTCCGTCCGCCAGTCTGCAGTCGGTATGGGAGTTCCTTGTCCAGACGTTGCACGAAATCATCCGGCCCAGTAATGGGTATTCGCACCTTCTGGATGTTGTTGTTTTCATTCTCTCTCTTCCTTTTCGGAGGTTCAGCGGACTTGACGGGGAAGTCGATTATTGCCGTCTGTTGCGACAGTGTTTCTGCTGAGTCGGCCCCCGCCGGCGTGTTCGGCTTCGCCTGCGGGATCATTCCGGGTCCGACTGCAATGTCGGTGGTCTCACCCGCTGTCGACATCGGTACATGGGGCGCGGATCTATTGGGTTCTTGGCTCCGCTTCTTTTCCGGCGGCTCCGTCACTTCAATTGGCGGGATCAGTGGCCGTATCACCGTTTCGCCCGAGATCAACGAGACCCGGCCGGCTCCGTGTCAGGTACGTGGTGTGTATGTAAAACCGGCTCTTAGGATTTCACAATGAGAGGTTGGTCGCTCCTCACATGGCAGACGGATCCGAGCTGGTCCGGATGTCCACCCAGGATACCCGACGAGGGCTCCAGCTGAGATTCCACGTGTAGCAAGGTCTGCGACATTGTGCTCGCCGGGCCCGAAATGCCATTGTTCGCTTCTCGACTGACTCCTGATCTCGCCCACTCGATTCGACACGAACGTTTTCCACCTCCGTGGGCTCGCTGCTGTAGCCCAGTTGTGTGTTATCATTTATCATGGAGTCCGTGTAGAAAGTCACCTCGTCGAATTTTACCGTTATGCGTTCAGTCGGGAACGCCTTGAGCGCTGCTAAGAGCTTCAGACGCGAGAGGGAGTGCGCGGCTGTCAGCTTCCTAGGAGCGAGCATCGACTTGCTCATCACCAACGCCGTGTCCGAGTTTCCATCAGCGTACCGATATTCGACGTACGCTACGCTGGCGTACGCTGCTTGCGACGCGTCGCCGAATATGTGCAGGCTATATGAAGAGGGTTTTCTGCCCCAAGCGTTGTATCGGCGCGTCAGATCGAATTCATTCAGCGTCCTGAGCTCCCTCGTCCACTCGATGAGCTCAGCTCGCACGTCTCCGCTGACGGTCTGGTTCCACTACAAGTCATCGCATCATAACTTTTGGACGATCCTCTTCCCTCGAAGTGTGTAGGGTTTCAGCTGGCCGAGGGGATCGTAGATGGAGGCAACCAAGCTGCGTTACTTGCAGGCGCCGGCACCTTCGGCAATGGAAGCGCGCCGCGATCGACGTGTTGCATGACCTCGCTGGAGTTTGTGGCTCGTTATTCGGAGACATACGCGAACTTTCTGTCATCGAAATCTTGATCACTAACTTTGCG